CTGGTAGAACACCATAGGCTCTGTGAGAGTACGAGTGCAAAGGTGTGTGTGTGTGTGTGTGTGTGTGTGTGTGTGTGCAAAATTACTCGAAAGACTAAAACTCATGACTCTGTAAAGGGCATTGCAACAAAAATATAACAGAAACAGAAGGAGAGGAAGAATTTTTATCAACTCTGGCACATGGCAATGAAGCAAATCTAAAATCTAACCGTCCGATAATGCACCACTGTATGCTCTCCCTTATAAAAATAAGCAAAAAACTTACTAACATGCCCATTCAGCATTCAGCAACACTGTAGTCTAGCTACTGATTGGTAACGGATGTGTGTTAAGCACTAATCTTGTTACTGTGAGGCATCCCATAATAATCAGTATGCCAGCGTGTCCTCTGAGGAACCTTTCTGTCCATTGGCATAACTCTGTTACCATGGTGATGGCACACGACCTGTCCCCAAGGCCAGGATTTAAAGTACTGCCCTCAGGTTGAGCAACTAAGCTGTCTTATTCGTGTATCTTAAAGGGAGATTTGAGGTTATGGTAATGATGTTCAGTGAGTGTGTGCGTGTGTGTGCATACACAGACAAAGAAAGAGCGAGACAGGCAGACAGACAGAAAGAGAGGAAGGGGATGTACTTTGCCAATTGAGTCAGTAAGGTTCCCTCACTCCCTTGAGGCTCTCTTTTCCCCATAGGATACGGCAGATTCACTAACAAGCAACAGGATTGGTCAGGTGTGGTGCCTTAGCAATAAAGAATGCGCACGTGACCCAACATGTCAAACCCTGCCTGGCGTCTCAGGGGAACTGAGGAGTGTTTGACAAAAGGGAGTCCTTCTCCCGGTGAATGGAGGAAAGACAACATCTATTACACTGCATTTCAGCAGGTTGCAGAAGCCCATTAGTTCCCAGCGATAATATCTAGAGGGCACGAACCTTTTCCGTGGATATAAAACATTGTGAATCAGTTAGCAAGTATATATGACAGCGGAAATAATGTTATGAATAAACAACAAGCACATTGAGTAAATTTTAAACCCAGTGGCAGCTTTGAGAAGGAGAATATAAAACATATGAAAACATTTTATATTATCATAGTAGGTAGCATTGTACTGGACTACATTTAATTTACCTAATTAAGTGGCCACTGAGTGTATATTTCTGTGTGGGATTTGAATAACAACAACAACAACAACAACAACAACAACAACAACAACAACAACTACAACAATAATAATAATAGTATCCTGGAGATATAACAGGAAAACAACAACACTAGAGCTATGAAGTAGGTTTTCTGTGTGCACATTAGTGCATCAGTCCAAACATCTCAATTTCTTCTAAAGTCTGAGGGTGCCATCTAGCTTTGTGAGACCAGAATAGCAATGCTACACACTAGCGGCTATGTCCCAGCTCCATACATACTAATGCTAAGCAGATTTTCATTATTTAGAGGGTTATAGCATACTTAATGCTTAATTTTTAAGTGGGCTGTTGGTGTACACTATACACTAGTTCATAACAGACATTTTGACTTACCATAGTAGAAAAAGCACAGGTGTGATTAATAACCTTAATGATGACTCTATTTCATGTGTGTCACTCAGTTCAAGGGCCTTGTTATTGTGCACTCTGGCTAACCGTGTTACTGGGTCACTTGAAACAGAGTAGTAATTAATGTTATTAGTTTCAGCTGTGCTTTTCCTGCTATGACAAAAGGCAGATTTTATCACAATGCAATGCACCAAGCAAATAAAGGATCTACTCACAGCGAGTTAAATGACACAGCTCCTGAGGGAGCTTCATTCAATTTTTGTAAAAAACAATTAACTTCTTAGTAAAAATAGTAAGAAATAGTAAAATATGTACTATATACTAACTGCAAAAACAATATACTACAACAGTTAGTATTTAGTATATACTGTACACGAATAGTATCCAGTAAGGTACTGGGACGCAACATGGTAATTTTCAAATGGCATAATATGGAGGTAATGTTTTAAAAAGTATAATTTCTGAAAACTGAACTGAACATGTTAGTTGAAAATGAACACAATTATAATTCAACATGATCGAAACAAAAAAACATATGTATGTGACAATAAAGAAGAGGGAATTAGAAAATTAACTATTTCGCATTTTCTACTGCAATGTAACTGTCTATACATGAAATGCAGCTTAATGTACCATTAATAGCTATTTCTATTGATTGTTCCTATGATTATAATTTCTACATCTTTAGTTTCTACCTCATAATATTTCATATAATAATATGTCAGACACTGAATGCCTGTGTCAATCTTGATGATGGTTAAAGGACTGTGTTAACACCAGGGATGGGGACTGAAATAAATCCAGGACTTTGTTGTTCTATCTCTGAAAATGTCAGACATGATGTATTTTATAAGTTAAATAGAATGAAACCAAAATAGCTTGTTATTCATATTATGTGAAAAGCCACTGTTTTCAGGACACTATTGTACAATTGTACACTGCACCTTAATTGTGTGTGTGTTATTGTGTTGTTTGACGTGTCCATTTATTGTAAATGAACAAAAAAATTAAAATCTTACCCAATGGTCATACAGCTGATTATGGTACCCAAAAAAGCAAAAGTCAGAATGGATCCGAGATTCTCAATGAATCGTTTCTTGGACAGAAATGAAAAGGGAACACCAATTAGTAGCAGCAAACAAACAAACTTGTCAACAATATGCAACACGTTTACTTAAATTTCATGTAACAAACAGCTGCGCACACAATAAGGCAGCACTTATGGGAGCACCCATAAAAAAGGAAAAGATCCTTTGATTCACCTAATTGGAGGCATGTCAGGATAGCAGTCTTACCTGATTAAGGGTGTAAGCTCCATGGAAGATGATGGGTGGCAGGAACAGATTGAAAAGGACCTCGGCATCAAAGGTCTCCTGTAAAAGACAGAACTGTTGTGTTGGTGACTGACAGGGCTCCGTGGGGAGTGAGAGGACTCCGTTTACTCAATGTGACTGACTGACAGACGGATATTACACACACATCGTTCACTTCAGCAGCTCTGTTTTGGCAGACAGGCACATGTTCTTTTTTCTCTTTGAAACCCAATGTCACAATAGTCTCCAGGTACCATGGCAACCTTATACTGTATGTCATTTTTCCTAAAAAACTAAACGAAAACTATTGCGTGTTGTTAATGGGAAAAATGGGAAAGTGTGACATTCCAGGCTTGTATGCCACCCATTTTCCCCACCCATGAGCATTGTAGTTGGGAGCCAGCTGACATTTATCATTGCTACCAAAACATAGGAAAATACATAAAACATCATATCAAATCATAACTTTGCCTCTTAAAAAACATAAAACATTAACCTTCATTATAGGAAAAGCTACAAATGTCCCTAAGCAGAAAACATTAAAAGTTTAGTATGGCTTGTTGCATTACTTCACCTTAAAGCCCTGCTTATGATATTAATATAATAATGTAAGATAAGATAAGATAAGATAAGATAAGATTTTCCTTTAATAGTCCCACAATGGGGAAATTCCAATTACTGTGTACTGCGATAGCATTATGTCCAAGTGCCCTGACTCAGACTTCCACATCTTATTAAAGAGAAGAATAATACAAAGTGAAAAGTCTAACTGCTTGCGTCAGTCTTCACCATAGGTGCTCCAAGCATTCATTAGATCAAGAACAAGCACGTACAGTTTAGTTTATCCACGCATGTTCAGACAACAGATGGACTAACATTAAATACAATTCAAGCTACTGATAACAGCAACGTATATTATCTTTAACACAAACAGAAACCAGGTTACGGTTGTTGTTTTTTTTAACATACTGTGCACGTTCTCTGTCTGTTTCTCATCTTAGCCAGTATGATGCAATACTAGCTGCTCAGAAAGGTAGCCTTTCATGTTCTTCATCCTTGAATCCTTTTTATGTCTATTGTATGTACAATCTGAAGATCAAACGACAGTGATATTCAATTCTGATCAAAACAGTGCAACTTTTTTCCTGATTCCTTCATCCCACAAGGTCTCATTACATTGCTAAGAATTAAATTTCAATTCAATTAAATTTCAGGCCAAATAGAGAGCTGTGGTGATGATGCTTGCAGAAATGTGGCTGCGGTCAAAGACCTTTAGAGAAAAGCCTTTTTTACAAACAGACACAAGGTTAAAGCAGGCAGAATAACGTGATTATTTGAATGAATGAAAATAGGCCTTCATCTGTAAGAAATTTTTTAAATTATCATTTCTAACACTGGAAAACCCCTATAGAGGTTGGAGAACCACCAGGTTTTATCAGTAATTCACATTTGAAATGGTTGCTAGAGCTACAGATTGCTCCTATCTTTCTGCTACTGACACATGGCTCAATATAAAGAACCTTTTTGAGGCTGCAATTACCCACACAGCACAATATACATGTATTTTCCATCTGTGCAGGCTGTGCATGACAAATACAAAACTGCATAACTGAGACCAATACAGACACTGTAATCAATAAATTATGCATATGCTGGTGGTTTTATTCTAAGGGCCACCTGCACCACACAGTCGAGGATGGAGGTGTGTTGTATACACTAATTGCCTCTTCAGCTGAGCAGCACTAAATTTAATCAGACCACAAACTTTAATGCCTTACTCCCCAGTGGAACATAATGGACTCAGTAATGCAATGAAATCCTTATCTCTCCCTGCTAGGTCCCCATATGTATCAGACTTAATGGCGTGAAGGCTACACAGAATGGTCTTACCGATGTAATGGCCTTTGTGGTAGCCTCTGCTGGTTTGCTAATGAGACCCCAGCATTCAAAGGGGGCCAAAGAGTCCAAGCCATTAGTGAAGAGTTACACTTGGCCTGGATGATTTGCAAGGTTCATGGTTCACTTACTCCCTTTTACTCGGGTTGAAACATTGCTCTGAGATGAAGAAATACATTTTCAAATACGCTCATTCCACATCCTCTCACGCTTGTTGGCCATGATGTGGCTGAATCCCGGGCTTGTTGGTTGGTTTCTTTGATATGACAAATCTCTCTGATAGCGCTGTTAAAATATGAAAGCAAGCCAGAAAACAGTGATACTAATGACAACCAGTGGCCCATCTCAAGGCTTATGCTCTGCTACTTAGCACTGATATTAGAGTCTCTGACTAATTCCTTTTATAGCAAAAAATTGCTGTAAGTAGTTGTCTGGCTTAAGGTCTAGTTCTAATATTATTTCTGTTCTACCTCAGTGACAAAAAATGATACAAATGTACTTAATAATCCTTGTAACGTAGAATTCAAACAAGACCTTCAGTATTAAAAAAAATAAAACTCCCTCCTGATTAAAAAGCGATAATAAGTAAAATCTGTTGTTCTTTGGTTGATCTTGGTCTGGATGTTTATGATATTAGAAATATACAAGTATATTTTAAAGGTTATCAGTGCTGTCTTAACATTAACATACCAATATACTGTATGGAGTATATTATATTATATTTCAGTTATAAATGTGTAACATAAATTAGCAAAGAGATTCAATTTAATGCTTCCAATAGAAACCAAATGATGTTGGAGACAATAATAGTTGAGCAAGCCTCAGTCAAAACCTCTGTAAACATGGTCCTCTCCTGTACTTAGATATGCTATGTGCTAGGCTTATATATGTTGAAAGTTTTGATGGTTAAAATGTTAAAGCAACATATATACAGTCTTATCTTAAGCTAGCTAATATTAGCAAAAGGCTAACTAATTTATATCAGTCATGGTTACATCTGATCATCTCATATTATATAAGAATATTACCTATCTACCTGGGAAAATTTACATCAAATTATTAGTTAGCAAGTTTTCCCAACATCGGGATAACTTAAGATGTAACTATTCATTTAAAAAATAAAAAATTAAATTTTAAATTTTTAACCGTCTTTAAAATGTGGTTGTCTCTTCAACATAGATGAGCCTAGCACATAGCACATCTGAGTACAAGAGGAGGAAGAGCAAAAAGGGGCGGGGCTTAGGGTAACGTTACTTAATTACAGACATTAATTACACAAAGTTCTAACCAAAGCTCTGTTTGAGTCAGCACGGTTCATTAAAGCCAGTAAGAGACAATTAAACTCGATCAGCATCAAACATAAACAGCAGTGCGAGAAAACATTAATGTTTGGAATATTGTTCACAGTATCACAGTCCCCTCCACTTTATAACAGATGGTAGAGATTCACATCCATTAGTGTGTTCTGTGTCACAGGCTGAGATCTCCATCTAACAGGAAAAAGGCTGCAGTGCCTGTTGAGATCACCTAACTCTCTCACATCCTTCCCTGCAGTGCAGAGCAACCCGGCACCAATGTCACTTGCAAGAGCATCTCATTATGGAAATTCTGCATGTAAACACACAAAAATGTCTTGACAGGGTACACACCTTTCAAGACTAAATAAACTGGGTTCTCTGATTGTATTCAAACAGTTTATGTTTGCCGTTGTCCGCAGGAGCGTACTTTAAAGAATATGTTTGTATAAAGTCCTTTTTTTGCTTATTGATTGGACCCTTTGTGTTGCTTTATCTATACTGCTACAGTCTGTTTATTGGTTTCTGTGTTAAGTTGTCTGCTCATTTCCCCTTGTCCGCACAGCACACCTGAAAATGTAATCTCCCCTATCTCTTCCTTAATAAATGCCCAATACAGGTTAAATTGCTCTCTTGCCCTCATTCTCTCTGTACCATCCACTCTCTTGATTCCCTAACAACAAACAGACCATGCAAGTAATTTAGAGGAAACCCAATAACTAAGAACCATTAGAGGAGACTGTTGATGTAAATACCCAGCATACACAGGGGACAAAGTATAGATGTGATCAAAGGAAAAGCAGTGAAGGAAAAAAAACTGTTATTTCAGACTAAATAAAACTACATCAGAGGAAAGGAAAGGCTCCTGTATGGTACAGTTTGTTTTCACACGTTCCCTCTGCAATATTGATTAACAGGTAGTGTCTCTGTTGTGTCACAACCTGCACATAAAAGATTCTCCTCTGTAACGTGTACTTGAAGTGCAGGTCAGAATAAAGTTGCCATAGTTACCGTATGATGGATCAAAACCAGCGGGTATCGTTGGCTGACTTTTCTAATGTGTCTGTAACTGTGAAATTGGGATGTGAGGTTGACCGTCAAGATGAGAGGAGTGCTATTAAGACCACCGCAACTGCACATCGTCTCCACGTCGTCCACATGTTCTCCTTGTCTCACTATTAACCCCATGAGCATACCTGCACAGAACGAAAAAGCAATAAAAAGCTGCTGTCATGAAAACTATTGCAATCCTTTCACATCATACATCTAGGAAAGATATTACAAAAAATATTCCACAAGTAAATGAATCAATAGGCAGCCACTACATGTCCTACGGAAGATTAAAAGACAAGAATCCCACTTTAAGGGCATGAATGTAGCACATTTAGGAAAATGATCTACATATCATGCTGTTATAGTGATGAATCATTGATTTCAACTTAAATATTGCAAGAGCCAAGTATACTGCTGGTTGGTGAGCACTTGTGGTATCTGGAGCTACCTGGCAATGGTGTAATGGTAGCCTATATTAAAATGTCGAATGCAGTACAATTTATCACCATAAGGCTAAATAACCACCCACATATACAATGTCAATCATATGTCATACCTTTAAAGTATCCTTATCCCTGATTTCCTTTAGCTGTGAGCAATTGTTTGAGCTCAGATTGATAGTGGCTGTTGGTTAAATTGTTTCCTACATTATGTTAAATATAAACTCTAAGTACAAATGGTTGATAAAGCTAAATTATATGATGTGGCCCTCCTTAAAATCCCTATCTTAATTCCACAAACTGTGACCAAAACTATCTTTATACTTTTTTTTTTTTTTTTAAATCTGATTTATTATTTCAACTGTGAGTTCAGGAAGTGCTGTTGGGCAACGGCTTCCGTGCTCTCCAGATAGGCAATCAGTTAAGGCAACTTACCATAAAACATTGCACCTCCAGTTTCATTCAGAAGCTTATATTTGAACTGCTTTAACTTCCACACACTGAGAATGGTTATAAGTGCCAGGCCAATTGCAGCGAGCTCCAATGCTGTGGCACTCTCATGTCTGTGCTTCACAGGGCCCGTCATCTTCAAAGCTGAGTCAAACTTCGGAAACAACTGCTCGACTTTTGATTCAGTTCAGCACCAGCAACATCCGCAACAGCAGCGCTCCAGAGACCGTGCTGCCTTTACCCTGCCCTCGGAAATCTCTGTTTTCTCTTTCCCAGGTGGGGAATTGCCCCTATAGGTTGCTGTTTTTTTGTCGCATTAATGAAAAAAAACCACGTTTGGTTATGTAATAAAAATATTTTGCTTAGCGTAATCCTTTTTTATAAATCAAGGGATACAATTCGTTGTTTTGCTACGTGTGTAAGGCGTGCTAAAGTGCAAGAGCAGTGAAACAAACGTATAACTAATTACAATACTTTTAAAGAGCCAGAATTAAAGCCTGTTAGTCGTTTACAAACAAGATAAATCACATTTTCCGAATTACGGTTTATGTCATGTCTTTGCCATTCTTTACAATAATATCTGTATTTCCTAAAGTCCCTGAACACACCACTGATTGGGTGTCAGTCTCTTGCTTCTCAGCAGATGGCGGTAAATACACACTAATGCACGCACAGCTCATTTAAAGACCACAGTGAGAGGCAGGACATTGAACCTCCACTCTCGGGCCCTTAGCTCTGAGTGAATCCGTTATGGCCCTTAATTAGCAGTTAATTAATTGATTAATTAATCGTCTGGTTGTAATGACTTATTCGGATCTTTCATCTACTTCTATTGTCGTACAAAAATAGCAAATGTAAAAGAATAATTATAGTAATAATAATAATTTTTTTTTTTTTTAAAAAGCCTAGATGCATGTGTTTTGCCCCTTGGCTGCGAAATTAAACACTGAAATTAACAAGATTGAATTAGTCCCGTTAATCCTATGGCAGACACAGTTGATGGTGTATAGATAAGTCTAACTTTCAATTGATTATGTCGTATATTTTAAAGGTTATCAGTGCTGTCTTAACGTTAACATACCAATATACCTCCCTCCTGATTAAAAAGCGATATGCCCCAGAAAATGTCTTATTTTTCTCTCCGTTTCTCCAACACAGCCTTCAATTCAGCAGTGTTTAATGGATCCGCAGCTGGAGCTTGGAGATAAGACTGTCTGCATACCTATATTAGTTGCTATTGATAACATTTGTAATTCCATTCCCAACTTTGACGAACACATCTGATACATAGAGCCTAGCACACGTGGGGAGCGACTAGTCTAAGTACAGGGAGAGCCGATGTTTACAGAGGTTGTTGAACTGAAGGAGCGAAAACCTATGTTGCAACGGCCGCGTGAGTTACCTGGTGCGCGCTGACAGAAAATAAACATGCATTTGGGCGTTTCTCCACTGGAAGCATTAAATTGAAACATCGTCTTGCTAATTTGATGGTTACGACCGAGTTATAATGGAATAAAAACCAGAAAGTAGTAAAAATGTGATGAAAGTCGCGAGTACTCCGCATAAACAGAGTGTACTCATTGTGTATGGTTAAGTGTTAATGACAGCACTGACAGTAACCGTGTTAATGTAAGAAGACTGAAAATCATGCTGGTGTAAGACCTTGATCAATTCAGATAACAATACAAGTCTCATAAACACTCCAGAAGACCTAGAAAATACAACATTGAAGAAACAACAGGATTTTAGATACGCCGATCAATGACATTGATGTCGCCTTTGTTAATCCAGGGAGGGACGCGCATAAACCAAGATTGAGTAGTTAACGTTAAGAGCGAGCACTCGCGCACCCGCTCCCGGACAGCTCTTAGATGAATATAGCGGAACGATAAGTCCAATTGAAGGAAGTTAGGTAGCTCGTATACTGATACACCATCAACATGTGCTCTGCCAATAGGAATTAGACGAGAGACATAAGTTCGAATCAATAAATGTTAACTTTGTTCTAGTCGGTGATTAATTTCGCACCACCACAGGTTGCAAATGAGCTGCTCACAT